AGACCGGATAAAAAAGCAAGATCCATCCATATGCTGTCTGCAAGAGACTCATTTTAGGCCTAAAGACACCTCCAGATTGAAAGTGAGGGGGTGGAAAACCATTTATCATGCTAATGGACATCAAAAGAAAGATGGGATAGCAGTCCTTTTATCAAACAAATTAGAGTTTAAACCAAAGACTGTAACAAGAGATGAGGAAGGACACTATATCATAATTAAAGGGTCTATCCAAAAAGAAGAGCTAACAATTATAAACATTTATGCCCCTAACATGGGAGCAGCCAAATAAAAAAAACAATTAATAACAAAGTTAAAGAAACCCATTGATAATAACACATTAATAGGAGGGGACTATAACACCCCTCTCACAGCAATGGACAGATCATCTAAGCAGAAGATCAACAAGGAAACAAGAACTTTGAATAACACACTGGACAAGATGGATTTCACATATATATTCAGAGCATTCCATCCTAAAGCAACAGAACACACATTCTTCTCAAGTGCACATGGAACATTATCCAGAACAGGTCACATCCTGGGTCACAAATCAGGTCTCAACCAGTACCAAAAGACTGGGATCATTCCCTGCATATTTTCAGACCACAATGCATTGAAACTAGAACTCAATCACAAGAGGGAATTTGGAAAGAACTCAAATACATGGAGAATAAAAAGCATCCTAGTAAAGAATGAATGGGTCAACCAAGAAATGAAAGTAGAATTAAAAGAATTCATGGAAACAAATGAAAATGAAAACACAAGTGTTCAAAACCTTTGGAAGGCAGCAAAGGCGGTCCTAAGAGGGAAGTTTACAGCAAACAAGCCTTTCTCAAGATGCAAGAAAAGTCTCAAATACACAACCTAACCTTACACCTAAAGGAGCAGGAGAAAGAACGGCAAATAAAGCCTAAACTCAGCAGGAGAAGAGAATTAATAAAGATTAGAACAGAAATCAGTGAAATAGAAACCAAAAGAACAGTAGAACACACCAATGAAACTAGGAGCTGGTTCTTTGAAAGAATTACTAAGATCAACACACCCTCAGCCAGACTTATGAAAAAGAGAAAGGACACAAATAAATAAAATCATGAATGAAAGAGGAGAGATCACAACCAACACCAAAGAAATACAGACAATTATAAGAAAATATTATGAGCAAATATATGCCAACAAAATAGGCAATCTGGAAGAAATGGATATATTCCTAGAGATGTACTGAACCAGGAAGAAACAGAAAACCTGAACAGACCGATAACCAGCAAGGAAATTGAAGCAGTAATCAAGTCTCCCCACAAACAAGAGTCCAGGGCCAGATGGCTTCCCAAAGGAATTCTACCAAACATTTAAAGAAGAATTAATACCTATTCTTCTGAAGCTGTTTCAAAAAACAGAAATAGAAGGAAATCCCAAATTCGTTCTATGAGGCCCACATTATACCTTGATCCCAAAACCAAAGGCCCCACCAAAAAGAATTACAGACCGATTATTCCTGATGAACACGGATGTTGAAATTCTCACCAAGATACTAGTCAATAGGATCCAACAGTACATTAAAAGGATTATTCACTACAATCAAGTAGGATTTATTCCTGGGCTGCAAGGGTGGTTCAACATTCGCAAACCAATCAATGTAATATACCACATTAATAAAAGAAAGGACAGGAACCATATGATCCTTTCAATAGATGCAGAAAAAGCATCTGATAAAGTACAGCAACCTTTCTTGATTAAAACTCTATGCAGTGTAGGGATAGAAGGAACATACCACAGTATCATAAAAGCCATCTACGAAAAGCCCACAGCAAATATCATCCTCAATGGGGAAAAACTAAGAGCTTTGCCCCTAAGGTCAGGAACACGACAGGGATGTCCAATCTCACCACTGTTGTTCAACATAGTACTGGAAGTCCTAGCCTTAGTAATCAGACAACAAAAAGAAGTAAAAGCATCCAAACTGGCAAAGAAGAAGTCAAACTCTCACTCTTTGCAGATGACACTATACTGTAAGTGGAAAACCCAAAAGACTCACCCCAAAATTGCTAGAACTCATACAGGAATGCAGCAAAGTGCCAGAATACAAAATCAATGCACAAAAATCAGTTGCATTTCTATATACTAACAATGGGACAGAAGAAAGAGAAATTTAGGAGTTGATCCCATTTACAATTGCACCCAAAACCGTAAGATACCTAGGAATAAACCTAACCAAAGAGGCAAAGAATCTGTATTCAGAAAACTATAGAACACTCATGAAAGAAACTGAGGAAGACACAAAGAAATGGAAAAACCTTCCATGCTCATAGATTGGAAGAACAAATATTGTTAAAATGTCTATGCTACCTAGAGCAATCTATACATTCAATGCAATCCCCATCAAAATACCATCCACTTTTTTCACAGAGCTGGAACAAATAATCCTAAAATTGCTATGGAACCAGAAAAGATCCCGAATAGCCAAAGGAATGTTGAAAAAGAAAACCAAAACTGGGGGCATCACAATGCCGGACTTCAAGCTCTATTACAAAGCTGTAATCATCAAGACAGTATGGTACTGGCACCAAAACAGACACATGGATCAATGGAACAGAATAGAGAGCCCAGAAATGGACCTCAACTCTATGGTCAACTCATCTTCAATAAAGAAGGAAAGAATATCTAGTGGAAAAAAGACAGTCTCTTCAACAAATGGTGTTGGGAAAATTGGACAGCCACATGCAGAAGAGTGAAACTGGACCATTTTCTTACACCATACACAAAAATAGACTCAAAATGGATCAAAGATCTAAACGTGAAATAGCAATCCATCAAAATCCTAGAGGAGAACACAGGCAGCAACCTCTGTGACCTCAGCTGCAGCAACTTCTTGCTAGACACATCTCCAAACGCAAGGGAAACAAAGGTAAAAATGAACTATTGGGACTTCATCAGGATAAAAAGTTTTTGCACAGCAAACAGTTGACAAAACCAAAAGACAACTGACAGAATGAGAGAAGATATTTGCAAATGACCTAGCAGATAAAGGGCTAGTATCCAAAATCTATAAAGAACTTATCATACTCAAAACTTAAAGAACAAATTATCCAATCAAGAAATGGGCAAAAGAGATGAACAGACATTTCTCCAAAGAAGACACACAAATGGCCAACAGACACATGAAAAAATGCTCAACATCACTCGACATCAATACCACAATGAGATATCACCTCACACCAGTCAGAATGGCTAAAATTAACAAGTCAGGAAACGACAGATGTTGGCGGGGATGCGGAGAAAGGGGAACCCTCCTACACTGTTGGTGGAAATGCAAGCTGGTGCAGCCACTCTCGAAAACTGTATGGAGGTTCCTCAAAAAGTTGAAAATAGAACTACCATATGACCCAGCAATTACACTACTAGGTATTTACCCTAAAGATCCAAATGAAGTGACCTGAAGGGGCACCTCCACCCCAATGTTTATAGCAACCACGTCCACCATAGTGAAACTATGGAAAGAGCCCAGATGTCCATTGACAGATGAATGGTTAAAGAAGATGTGGTATGTATATATATACATACACACAATAGACTACTACTCAGTCATCAAAACAAATGAAATCTTGCCATTTGCAATGACATGGATGGAACTAGAGGGTATTATGCTAAGCGAAATAGGTCATTCAGAGAAAGATAATTATCATATGATCTCACTCATATGTGGAATTTAAGAAACAAAACAGAGGATCACAGGGGAAGGGAGGGGAATATAACAAGAGAAAATTGGAGAGGGAGACAAACCGTAAGAGACCCTTAGTCATAGGAAACAAACTGAGGGTTGTTGAAGGAGATAGGGTAACTGGGTGATGGACATTAAGAAGGCACATGATGGGGCGCCTGGGTGGCTCAGTTGGTTAAGCGACTGCCTTCAGCTCAGGTCATGATCCTGGAGTCCCTGGATCGAGTCCCGCATCGGGCTCCCTGCTCGGCAGGGGGTCTGCTTCTCCCTCTGACCCTCCTCCCTCTCATGTGCTCTCTCTCATTCTCTCTCTCTCTCAAATAAATAAATAAAAATCTTAAAAAAAAAAAGGCACATGATGTAATGAACACTGGGTATTATGTAAGACTGATGAATCACTGAACTCTACCTCTGCTATTAATAATACACTATATGTTAATTAACTAAATTTAAATTTAAAAAATATACAGATAAAAAACAACATGGAAGTCACATGGGGAAAGGAAGAGACTTTAAAAACTTTTTCAAAAAGTCATAACATTCGTATCTTTTTTTTTTTTTTAAAGATTTTTTCAATTGATTTATTTGACAGAGAGAGACACAGCGAGAGAGGGAACACAAGCAGGGGGAGTAGAAGAGGGAGAAGCAGGCTTCCCGCAGAGCGGGGAGCCCGATGCGAGGCTCGATCCCAGCACCCTGGGATCATGACCTGAGCTGAAGGCAGACGCTTAACGACTGAGCCACCCAGGCGCCCCAACATTCGTATCTTTATAGTACAGAGAAGATAATACTATATCCATGAAATGAGAAAATATTAACAAAATGAACATTCAGAGAACGATCTTGGAAATTAAACATAAAATACTAGAAATAAACTCAACAGAAAAGAATTTAAAGTTGAAAAAATGTCTCAAAGGTAAAGCAAAAACACAATGTGATGGAAAACAGGAAGAAGGTAAAGAATATCAGTCCTGGAAGTCAAATTCCAAATAAAGGGGCTCCAAAGAAAACAGAAGAGAGGATACAGTGAACACATATTTTCCTAGAACAAGAAGCTCCAAACTGAAAGGGTGCAACACAATGGATGAAAAGAGCATTATAATACACCATGGCACATCTTCATAAAATTGTAAAAACATTGGAAGGTAGAAGGAAATGGAACAGTGCCTTCACAATTCTGAAGGAAAATTATTTCTAACATGGAATTTTATATCCATCAAACTATCAAACAAGCGTGACTAGAATCACGACACATTCAATAGACAGTGACCAGAAAATAACTCACCTTCCACACACCCTTTTAACAAGATACTAGAGGATGTTCACTACCAAAAGCAGGGAATAAACCTAGAAAGAGAAACAAAAAGAAGATATAATATCAGAGAAAGGACAGAATGGATGATAATGAAGGAAAATCCTACAATAACTGAAAAAAGTTTTTAAACAGAAAGAGGCTTTTTGTATCTGCTCAGAGTTCCTTCTCAAAATACAGAATTTTATGTAAATGCTGAAAGAATTCAAGAAACCTCCACAACCTCTTAAATTAAAAAAAAAAAAAGGAAAGCAAAAAGAAAGACGGGGGAGACAAAAGCAACAGCATTCATTGTGGTATACCAGTCTTCTATATTGATAGAAAAAGCCAGTTCTTCTGATCAGCTCTGTGCTTCCAGTTACTAACTTTAGGTTACAACACAGTATTTGACAATGGTTGGCTTCAATTCTTCTGGTCATAAAATGTTTAACAGAAATTAAAGAACAAATGTAAATACGGGAAACTCAACTGCCTTCTTTTGATAAATGTTGCCTCTTTTTAATCAAAGACTAAAGATGGTTTAGCAATAGCCAATTTAGATGCTTCCTCAACAGTCCAGTGGAGAAATTCAGTAAAAGTAAATGGAATTTTAAAATGCGGTCACCAGGGGCACCTGGTGGCTCAATCAGTTAAGCATCTAACTCTTGGTTTCAGCTCAGGTCACGATCTCATGGGTTGTGGGATCAAGCCCTGAATTGGGCTCCTTGCTCAGCAGGGAGTCTGCTTGAAATAGTCTCTCCCTCTGTCCCTCTCCCTGCTCCTGCTCTCTCTCTCTCAAAAAAAATAAATAAATCTTTAAAATAAAATGTGGTCACAAATAAACAAGCAAACAAAAACAAAACAATCACACCCACTCCTAGAACTATCTGACCCATTCAAAGCGCCTCCAGTGGACTCCTGTATACTCTTAAATTTGACCCAAAAAACCCCAAAAAATCATACAAGATTTCATAAGAAATCAAAGCACAGAACGTAGCTCTAGAAAATACTATACTGCTTAACTGATACCTCACTGGTAATCACACTAAGTGGAAAATGAGAAAAACAAATTGGAATAGTGCAGGTTTTGAAAGCTTGTCCTACCACAGCCTAACTGAAAGACAAGTTCACAAGGAACATGCTCAAAATCACTCAGAATAAAATTCTTTCCTTAAATACAGCATTTTAAATTGTCCAACTGATACGATTCTAAAATATCAACTATTTACTATCTTCTAATTGACTAATGCAATTGGATTCCATTAACAGCTAATTTTTGCCAAATTCTAAAAAACTCATTTAAGTTAAAAGACCATAAAGAAAGAATACTTATACTGTATTTTTGCATTCCTACAATTCGAAAGCAACAGAATCAAATTTTTTCAGGATGTGAATAAACATGCCATACTTCAGGTTAAAAGCATATTCTATTCCAAAATTAGCAGTGAAAATAAGCTCGGAAAGAAAGGACTTCCCAGCCTTGAATTCAGTGGCATTAATATTAATGACAATCCCACTCATTTCAAAGGCATGTCCCAGAGTGTTTATATTATGAAAAATGGCTCTGGAATGTCATCTTCAGTAAATTTTAAATTGTTTAATCTGAGGTTTTGCTAGATTTGTAACAGCTGCACTTGTGTTTACAACTATAATTAAGATCTTTACAGCATGGCACTCCTTTACACATTTTTTAGATCTGGTTGGTACAAACATGTTGTACTGATCAATAGAAATGAGTTTGGTATCTCTCGATAGCTACAAATTTGGTCAGAATAAAGTTTTGTTTTGGATTAACATTGTACAACAAATGCATCATAGACCTTCAGAAGTTTTATGGTATTGGTTACAGAAGGATAGGATAAAAACTTCCATTCCTATACAAACATTTGGAAAATGACTCAATTTGTGTTTGTGGAATTCAAATTTTGTTTGGGGAGAAGATATGCATATCAAATACACTGTGGATCTAATTTGTTTGCTGGCATTCACGGAGGCTCTCAGGGCAAGTTACCAAGCAGAAACTGGTTAGGCAGTATTCAAAAGCCTGCATTTCTTCTAATACCTTTATTTACACAATAGAAAAATGCAACAAAAAGCCTGCCAAAGACTTGCTTAAGACTGTTTCAACAGGGAGCACCAGCAATCCTTGGCCATGGGGCTGCTGGGGCAATAAGAAGAGCACCAGACCAGCGTCAGTTTTGGGGGTAACAGTCAACAGCTTTGCCACTAACCTCAGTTTTTTCTCTGTAAATATTTCACAGAGAAGTTATTATTGAAGGTGAAGGTTCTCTGCTAAAATAAGTTGAGTCTGGCAACCAGAAATGCCCGGCTCTTTTAGAAACTGAAAAGATTATCATGCCCTAATAGCTAAGACATATTTAAAAGCTGCACAAACAGAAGTAACCCCACAAGTTCTTCAGCACTATCCTCTTTTTGGGCTCTCAGGCATTCCCAATCCTGGTCAAAATTAATTTTTTGAAAAGCCTCCACTCTATTTTGTTCAGAATTACCCATTTCTTCCCCTAGCTATAACTTTGACAACTGAATGCACTTCAAAATGATTCAAGTGTTACTAAATTACTTTAGACAAAGGTCATAAATTCAAATGTCCAGAATGGGTCAGTTAAATGAGTAAAGCAATCAAAAGGGCTTGAGGCTACTGGGAGACAAAGCATCATCCAAAGAAGACAGCCAGAACTTAGTTCCTGCCAGCTGCTGGCAAAGGAAAAGTCAGATTTAGTTGTCCTACTGCCTTAATAAAAACCTAGAAAATATGGGTTTTTAAAGGTGAAACTGCTTGGTGTTTAAATGTTAGTGATTAGAAAACTCTTAAACATCATGCAAGCCACACAAAACTTAACTTCAAAGCAGATCTGTTCTCTGCTTTATTATCTCTACCATGTTTGTTTTATACGGATGTATGTAAAATACCATTACAAGGTAAAAAAGAACTTTGGTGACTTTTTTTAATGCTTCAATTATGCTATGACTTATGTCGATATATTCAACAAGGTTCATTTTTTTTCCTTAAGCTACAATTGGTTTGTAATGTTATATTAACTTCAGCTTCATACACACACCATGATTTGATCTTTGTATACACTACAGTAAGTCTAGTTACTATGCATCACCGTATCATTGCTGTTTACCCATTTCATCCACCCCATAACCAACTGCCGTTCTGATAACCCCAATCTATTCTCCATATCTGGAGTTTTTGTTTTGTTTCTTGTTTCATTTTTTAGATTCCATATATAAATAAAGTCATAAACTTGTCTTTCTCTGACTTATTTCATTAGCATAATACCCTCAGATCCATCCATGTTGTTGCAAATGGCATGCTTTCATTCTTTTTTATGGCTGAGCGGTATTCCATTGTCTATATACCACATCTTCTTTTTCCATTCATCTACTGATGAATATTCTTGTTGTTTCCATATCTTGGCTACTGTAAATAATAACTGCAATGAACATGGTATGCAATATATGTTTCTTAATTAGTGTTTTCATCTTCAAATAAATACCAAGAAGTGGAACAGCTGGATCATATGGTAGTTCTATTTCTAATTTTATAAGGAAGCTCCATACTGTTTTGTTTAGTGGCTGCACCAATTTACATTCCCACCAGCTGTGCACAAGGGTTCCCTTTTCTCTACATTCTCTCAAACTTTTTTTTTAATAATAGCCACTCTAACAGGTGTGAAGTAATATACCACTGTGGTTTTAATTTGCATTTCCTTGATGGTGATGTAGAACATCTTTTCATGAGCTTGTTGGCCACTTATATATTTTCTTTGGAAATATGTCTGTTCAGATACACTGCCCATTTTTCAATGAAAATGTTCGGCTTCTTTGCTATTGACTTGCTTGAGTTCTGTATATATTTTGGATGTTAACCCCCTAACAGATGTATGATTTGCAAATATTTTCTCTCATTCAGTAGGTTGCCTTTTCATTTTGATGGTTTCTTTTGCTGTGCAGAAGCTTTTCAGTTTGATGTACTCCCGTCTGTTCATTTTTGCTTTTGAAATCAAATCCAAAAATTAAATGTCAAGACCAATGTCAAGGAACTTACCATCTATGTTTTCTCCTTGGAGTTTTATGATTTCAGGTCTTACATTCAAGCCTTTAATCCATTTTTTTTTTAAGATTTTATTTATTTATTTGAGACAGAGAGAATAAGAGACAGAGAGCATGAGAGGAAGGAGGGTCAGAGGGAGAAGCAGACTCCCCGCCGAGCAGGGAGCCCGATGCGGGACTTGATCCCGGAACTCCAGGATCATGACCTGAGCCAAGGCAGTCACTTAACCAACTGAGCCACCCAGGCGCCCCGCCTTTAATCCATTTTGAGTTAATTTTTGTGTACGGTATACGATAGTGCTCTAGTTTCGTTCTTTTGCATGTGGCTGTCCAGTTTTACCAACACCATTTTTGAAGAGACTTTCCCCATTGCAATGCTTGGCTCCTTTTCAGAAATTAATTGACCATAGGTGTGTAGGTTTAATCTGGGCTATTCTGTTCCATCAATGTGCCTGTTTTTATGTCAATAACATATGTTTTGACTACCATAGCTTTGTAGTACAGTTTGAAATCAGAAAGCATGATACCTCCAGCTTTGTTGTTCTTTCTCAAGATTGCTTTGGCTATTCAGGGTCTTTTGTGGTTCCACACAAATCTTTAAATTATTTGTTCTATTTCTGTGAAAAATATTGAAACATTTTTGATAGGGACTGCACTGAATCTACAGATTGCTTTGGGTAGTATGGACATTTTAAACAATATTAATTCTTCTAATCCATGAGCATGGAATATCTTCCCCTTATTTGTATCTTCCTCAATTTCTTTCATCAAGGTCTTATAGTTTACAGTGTACAGATCTTTCACCTTCTTGGTTAAATTTATTCATAGATAGGGGCACCTTGGTGGCTCAATTAGTTAAGTGTCTGAGTCTTGATTTTAGCTCAGGTCATGATCTCAGGGTCCTGAGTTCGAGCCCCATGTCCGGTTCCACACTCAACAGGGAATCTGCTTAAGGATTCTCTCTCTCCCTCTCCCTCTGCCCTTCCCCCTGCTTGCATGCTCCCCTCTCTCTAAAATAAATAAATCTTTTTAAAAATTTATTCATATTTTATTCTTTTATTTACAATTATAAATGGGGTTTCTTCTCTTTCTGATACTTCATTACTCATGTATAGAAATGCAACAGATTTCTGCATATTGATTTTGTAACATGCAATTTTACTGAATTCATTTACTAGTTCTAACAGTTATTTAAATGAGTCTTGTTTTTTTTAAATCCATTTAGCCACTCTAGGCCTTTTGATTGGAGAATTTAATCCATCTACTTTTAAGGTAATTATTGATAAGTATGTACTTATTGCCATTTGTTAATTGTTTTCTGGCTGTTTTTTGTAGTTCCTCTCTTTTCCTTTCTTATTCTCTTCCCTTGTGGTTTGATCACTTTCTGTAGTGCTTTATTTACATTCATTTCTTGTTATCTTTTGTACATGTATTAACAGGTTTTTGCTTTCTGGATACCCTGAAGTTCACATATAACAGCCTACATATATAACAGTCTATTTTATGTTGGTAGCAACTTAAGTTTGAAAGCATGCTAAAAACTCATTTTCACTATCCCCCCCGCAAACATTTTGTTTTGATATCTTCTTTTACAACTCTTTATTTTGTGTATCCAACATTTATTCATGATAAGAACTCTCAACAATATAGGAAGGAAAGTTCCTCAACCTGATAAAGATCATTAAGGAAAAACTTAATATCTAACATCATACCTACTGGTAAAATATTAGATGCTTTTCCCTTAAGATCAGAAACAAATCAAGAATGTCCACTCTCCCCACTTCCATTCAGCAATGTACTGGAAGTTTTAGGCCAGAAAAAAAAAAGGGCACCCAAATGCAAAGGGAAAAATAAAATTGTCTATATTGACAGATGACATGAGTGTATGCAGAAAACTCTAAGGAATTCACAAAAAACCTGCCTGAAATAATAAACAAGGTTGCATGATACTAGGTCAATATACAAAAAAAACAAGTGTATTTGTATTTTCATATACTGGCAATGAGCAATCCAAAATTGAAATATGAAAAACAGTTCTACTCACAATAGCATCAAAAAGGAAACACTAAGAAATAAAACTAACAAAAGAAGGGCAAGACTTGTACAATGATAATTACAAAAAAATGCTCAAAGAAATTAAAGATCTAAACAAATGAAAAGACATTCCATATTCATGTTATTACATTTCTCCCCCAAAAGGGATCTACAGAGTCAATACAATTTCTATCAAAATCAGCAGGCTTTTTGGGGGAAAAAAATGACAAGATGATACCAAAACTTAACATGGAAATGTAAGGAACCCAGAATAGCCAAAATAATGTGAAAAAGAACAAAAACAATGGAAGACTTTTATTACCCAATTTCAAAATTTACTACAAAGCTACCATAATTAAGACAGTGTGGTGCTGGTATAAAAACAGGCATGCAGATCACTGAAACAGAAATGAGAGTCTAGGAATAATTAATGGTCAACTGATTTTTTTTAAGATTTTATTTATTTACTTGAGAGAAACTGAGAGCTTGCATGCATATGTGGGGTGAGGAGTAGAGGGAGAAGGAGAGAGTCTCAAACAGACTCTGTGCTGAGTATGGAGACTGACAAAGGTCTTGATTTCATGACCTTGAGATCCTGACCTGAGCTGAAACCAAGAGCTAGACACAACCAAATGAGCCATCCAGGTACCCATACAGCAAATTGATTTTTGATAAAAGTGGGGGAAGGTTTTTTTCAACAAATAGTGCTAGCATAACTGGATATACATGTACAAAAAAGATGAATTTGGATCCCTATCTCATACCATACACAAAAGTTTATGGAAATTAATCATAAACCTAAGATATGATCCAAAAAAAGAAAAAAAATTGATAAAATGGACTTCCTCAAAATTAAAACTTTTGTACTTCAAAAGATACCATGAAGAGAATGAAAAGACAAGTAACAGAATGAGAGAAATTATTTGCAAAACATGTGTCTGATAATGGGCTTCTACTGAGATATACAAAGAATACTTACAACCCAATAATAAGACAATCAACTGTGAAAATGTGTTAAGGAAACCTAAGTTAAAATTGGAACAAGGAAGCCATGAAAGGAGGGCTCTCACACAGACCCATTTATTGCAGCTGAACTCTCACAGTCTTCCAACAAACTTTATTCAAAACTACCCCTCCAAATTCCTCCTTTCCTCTATAAAAGGATCCTCCCCTCCATTGTTCTCAGGATTTGCCTATGGTTCACCATAGTTTCCTTCTCTTGAACTGCAATTCCTCTGCTATTTCCAAATAAACTTGATTTTGCTGGCTGATCACTTACATTTTTAAAGATTGACATTTCATGGTGTCAGAAGTGGGATCCGAAGGCAATGAACCCTAGAGGAACTAATGACCCCTAGAGCCACATGTGGCACCCACTTGTACCCCTCATACTCTCTGCTTGAGTTGTCTTCTTCCTTTCAGTTTGATAAGTCTTTTCTCAGATTCAAGCTCCCTCCTTTTGGTTGAGCTCTCCAATTTTACTGGTGATCTGTTTTCTTGAAGGTATAGTCCTTTTAGTGATACTCATTTATATTGTGAACCTCTGGTTTTGAAGTATGAGAAGATCCCAATCCTCTAAATTCTCTCAAGAGGGTCCTCCTTCTGGGATCCCAGTTTTATGTTCAAAAACTACAGTCCCTCCTCTTGTGCATCCTTAACTAAGTAGGACAACTTACAGATAACTTACAACTCAAATGCCCAAAGATAACTTACAACTCCAATGGCCATCATGGGGAACCTTCAATCACCCAAACTCATATTTTTCAGAACCAAATTAGAAGACCATAGCTCCGAAATTAAACAGACTAAATGGGATCCCTATCTTAATTGGTACCTGGAGGCTTCCAAATGTACCCAAGATTTTAAAATCATCTCTTTACAAAATATCATTTCCAAATAAACTGAGGTGAACAATTGAAAGAAGACCCAAAAAAGCTTCTAAGGCCTCTTTTTCCCCTCCCTGTGCTCTTTGTCTCTGCTGCCAGCTTCTTTTCCTCCTGCACCACCCCCATCTTCTTTATACCCTTCACTTTCTCATTCTGATCCCCTCACTAAACTTTTCTTTTTCTCAAAATCTCTCACTTCCTGCTCCCCTGAACCTATTAAAACCTGCCCCTTTAAAATCAGACCCTCTGTCAATCCAAATGCTAAACCCTTAATTTCTTCTGTTACCTGGACTAAAGTTGAATTACAAGCCATAGTCAAAGATTTTCCCAAAGTAACTGAAGATCCCCATAGATTTGCTGAGGAATTTAGTATAGTCATTCAAACTTATCAGCCTGGTTTCTCTGGTTTATACCATATGCTTGTTAGGGAAGGCCAGGCCCAACTACCAAATGGAATGATCCCAAGAAGCCTAGAATTACAACATGGGTACAAAGAAACCCTTGCTGCCATATATATGATCAGGCTTGGGGAATTGCCAACTGATCCTTTTGGTAATTCTCAGGGCTTTCCCAAAGCCAGCTGATTGGAATATGATTCAGGCTTGTACCCAGAAGCCCAATGAGCCCATGCATGATTATTAGAGCCAGCTCCAAATTATCTTTAAAGAAAATTCTGGTCTTGCTTTGGATATTGAGTCCACCTGGATAGCAGTTAACTCTATGTTCATTAACAGGCTGAACTGGGATTTTTTTATTCTAGTTAAAAGGACCAGGATGGAATGAAAAAGTATCTCTACTGCAGATTGAGCTGATTTAGCAAACAAGGTCACCTACATCTTAGATGATTCAAATAAAAGAAAGACCCATAAACCCCTTCATTTGAACTCCAACAAATGAAGGATCCTAAATAAAACCAAAACCGTCCTGGTCTCTGCCATTATTGCAAAAAGCCAAAATATTGGAAGAAAGACTGCTACAAGCCTAAGTGCTCCAGGCACCTTCAGCCCTCTATCCAGCCAATGTTCTAATCCCCAGTGATGGAACTCCAAACTCCAGGGACTATTCCAGTCCTTTCCCTTAATTGACCTGGAGAAACCACTCTCCAGATGGGGAATGAATCTCTCTGTACCTACTGATACTAAAGCTACACTCCTCAGTGCTCAACTCCACTGCCATTAAACACCCACTGCCTCAGAGTACTAAAACAGTTCAAATAGCGGGAGTCTCTAATAAATCTCAACAGGTTCCTATCTCTAAACCTATACCTTTTTGCTTAGGCCTTTAGAGATACCCAACCTTTTCTCCTTAGTTTCTCTGACCTTATTTATTTATTGGGCCAAGATTTCTTAGAAAAATATCATGCTGGGATTTTTCTTCCAAAAGGTAGAAATAATTCTAGAATTTGACAGCAGGAACCAAAATAGCTAACTAGATAAGTCAAATGACCCTTCAATAGCTCTTATTTGCTCCATCTCTGATATCAATATATCTACTCCAAGGACACTAATCATTTGTCTCTAATGGATCAGCTACCATCCTCTCCATGACAAAATCCCCAACTGATATTTACAGAATCCACAGTGCACCTCCTGTTAAAGATACAAACAGATTCTTCAAAATCTCTCCCCAGAATTAACCAATACCCTAATAAACAGAGGCCCTTCAAGGCATTAAGCCAATAACAGAAGGCTACAAGACTCAGGGCCTCATTATCCCCTGCACCAGGCACTGCAACACCATTTTACCTGTGAAGAAACCAAATGGCCATGGATGGAGGCTCATCAAGACCTCCAAGCCATAAAAAATATTGTCATCGCTTTGCCCCTCTGTTGTCCCCAATCCCACCTTATTTGCTTCCATCCCTACTGAGAGCAAATTTTCTTCCATGATTGATTTATGTAGTGTTTTCTTCAGTATCCCAGTAAATAAAACTAGTAAATATCTTTTTGCCTTTACTTGGGAAGAACAGCAATATACCTGGACAGTAATGCCCCAGAGTTTCATGGAAAGCCCTTTTTTCTTACAAGCTTTCAAGACTGACCCAGATGATATCAAGTTCCCTGGAGACTCCACTTAAATATGTGGATGACTTACTTCTCCGCTCCTCTTCCCAAGCCTCCTCACAAGAAGATAGCATCCATCTGCTAAAACTCTAAGCCAAAAAGGGATAGAAAGTCTCTTTAAAAAATTTAAAATTTGTTCAAACTTAAATTTGATACTTAGGACATTTAACCTTAGAACAAGGACTGCATCTAAGATCACACAGGCTTCATGGCACCCTGAACTTCTCAAAGCCCAAAACCAAACATCAGCTGTGAGGTTTTCTCAGGTTGGCAGTCTACTGTTGCAACTGGATCCCCAACTTTTCCCTTATGGCCCAACCCTTAAAACCTTGTTTAAAAACATCTAAACCTAGGAAGATTGAGATGACATGATTTTTCAAATCTTAAAAGATTTGGTTTAATAACCATCCCCTGGCCCTTGGACACCCCAATTATCAACTCCCTTTCTTTGTTGTATATGAAAAAGGGAATGCCCTCGGGGTACTCATCCAAAAACAAAAGGATCACCACCAACCCACAGGATATTATAGAAAACAACTAAATCCTGTAGCCCAGGGATATCCCCGTTCCTCATAGCTATACCTGCTACTGCCCTTCTTGTAAAGGCCACTGAGGGAATAATCATGGGATCCCCTTTAACCATCTTTGTGCCACATGTTGTCAAAGCTCTTCTTAACTCTCATCATACTCAACATCTTTCATTAAGCCATTTCACTTCCTATGAAATCATCATGTTAACTGCCCCTTAGATCACTCTTGTTCACTATAGTTACCTTAATCCTGCTAATCTTCTCCCCTCCTCTACTGATGAAAGCCCCAACAACTGCTAAATACTAACAAATCACCTTCCGACCCACATGATGATTTACAGGAAACTTCAGATAACACTGACTTTTCATGGTTCACCGATGGATCTTATTTGAAAGATGAAAATGGTAAATATTGTGCTGAGTATGCAATATCAACTTTTGAAATAATTGAAGCAGCACCTTTGCCTTTGGCTATTTCAGCCCGTCAAGGCAAATTATATGCACTCTTTAGGCCTGTATCCTAGACAAGGGCAAAATTGCAACATTTGCACTGAGGGTAGACATGTCTTTGGAGTGGCTCACGATTTTGGAATGTTATATAAACAATGTGGCTTTTTTACTTCCAGCAGAGATAAAATTAAAAACAGGCCTTACCTTCAGTAATTATTGGATGCCATATTCTTACCTGCTGCTTTGGCTATTATTAAGGTCCGGGGGGCATTCTAAGCTTGACTCTCTGAAAGGTAAAGGAAATCACCTCACTGACATTTCCCAAAAAATGCTACCCTCAAAGGGTCCAAAAGTCAAACCTCTGTTATGGTCCAAAGGAACTCACCTCCAGAGGGTAGCCTGGAGAAATTGACGAGAGACACCAACAATCAGCACCAGAAAAGGAAAAACAATATTGGCAATCAAACGGTAGCTGGTATGATAAAAAGAGAAACTTGTGTTTTGGGCCAAACAAAAACTCAACCCCACCAGAAATTCTGTAATTCTATTTTCTTATTCCCTTTTTAAATTAACATACAATAGGGGCTCCTGAGTGGCTCAGTCGGTTAAGCGACTGCCTTCGGCTCAGGTCATGATCCCGGAGTCCCGGGATCGAGTCCCGCATCGGGCTCTCTGCTCGGCAGGGAGCCTGCTTCTCCCTCTGACCCTCCCCCCCCTCATGTGCTCTCTCTCTCATTCTCTCTCTCTCAAATAAATAAAATCTTAAAAATAAATAATTCATTAACATACAATAAACATACAATGTTATATTAGTTTCAGGTGTATAATACAATGATTCAACACTACTATACATTGTTCAATATTCATCAAGATAAGTGTACCTCTTAATTCCCTTAATTTATTTCACTCATCCCTTCATTCACCTCCCCTCTGGTAACCACCAGTTTGTTCTCTGTATTTCTCTTGTTTTTTTTGTCTTTTTTCTTTGTTCATTTGTTTTTGTTTTGTTTCTTAAATTCCATGTAAGAGTAAAATCATATAGTCTTTTCCTGCCTGACTTGTTTCACTCAACATTACACCCTTTAGGTACATCCATGTTGCTGCAAATGGAAAGATCTCTTCTTTACGACTGATTAATATTCCTGTGTGCGTGTGTGTGTACACCTTCATCCATTCATCTATCAATGGACATGGGTTGTTTCCATATCTTGGCTATTGTAAATAATGCTGCAATAAACATAGGGTGCATATACCTTTTCAAAATACATATGTTTTCATTTTCTTTGGGTAAATAGCAGTAGTGGGATTACTGAATCATTCGATAATTCTATTTTTAATATTTTGAGGAAACTCCATACTGTTTTTCACAGGTTACACGAATCTGCATACTCACCAACAGTGCACAAGGGTTCCTTTTCCTCCACATCCTCATGAACAATTGTTATTTCCTGTCTTTTTAATTTTATCCATTCTGACAGGTGTGAGGTGATATCCCATGGTGGGTTTGATTTGCATTTCTTTGATGGCTAGTGATGTTGAGCATCTTTTCATATGTCTGTTGGCCATCTGTATGTCTTCTTTGGAGGAATGTCTATTCAGGTCCTCTGCCCATTTTTCATTGGATTTTTTTTGGAGTTGAATTGTATAAGCTCTGTATATAGTTCAGATATTAACCCTTTATTGCATATGCCATTTGCAAATACCTTCTCCCATTTAGTAGGTTGCCTTTTTGTTTTGTTGATGGTTTCCTTCACTGTGCAAAAGCCTTTTATTTTGATGTAATCCCAATAGTTTATTTTTGCTTTTGTTTCCCTTGCTTCAGGAGACATATCTAGAAAAATATTTCTATGGCCAATGTCAAAGAAATTACTGCCTGTTTTCTTCTAGGAATTTTATGGTTTCAGGTCTCACATTTAGGTCTTTAATCCATTTTGAGTTTATTTTTAAAGTTTCCATTATTGACCACTGTACATGCACTCAACCAGTGGTCTATGGATAAAATGATAGGTTTCTGAATCAATACTGTTATGGAAAGGTGAGAAACCAAGCGACACTCAGAGAAGTAGGAGAACCTGGGTTTATTTTACGTTGGTGGACCCAGACGAGCTCGCACTCAAAATTCTGGGCCCCGGGTAGCGGGGTTACAGAGCTTTTATAGGGCAGTGCAGGGAGTCAGGTACCAAGGGCTGTGCTGACTGCCGGTAGGAGGGTTTAAATTGGCAGGGAGGGGGGTGCTTTTTAGGGGGGAACAGTAGTTAGGGCAGTGCAGGAAGCTTGTGGCGGGAAGCCTGTCTAAAGTAGAAATGGCTGGTTATCTCTTGCTCAAGCGGGGCTTCTGGTTATCTCCTAGTATTGCTAGTAACCTTCCACCTTCTGGGGCCTGCCGGCCTGGGTCTGCTCTGGATAATTTTCCTCTTCAATACTAGTGGGGAAATACTAACAAAGCCACAAAAAAGGCCTACTGTGATTGCCCCAACTGCCCAAAATACAATCCAGGAAAACCTATCCTCACTGCTCCTGGGCACTTTAAATTGCCTAATGAACCATTCGAGGTTTGGAAAATGGACTTTATTCAGCTACCCCCATCTCATGGGTACAAATATGTCTTGGCAATGATTCATGTCCTCCCACTGGGTCAAAACCTTTCCATGTAGACAAGCTACTTTGCTCTTCAGTAGCTAAAATTCTACTGGGGGGAAAAAAAATCATCCCTACCTGAGGAACCCCTCTTAAGCCCTACAGTGACTAAGAAACTCACTTTATTGGGTCAAATATTATGGTGAGTCTGTGATGTCTGGCCAGTTCTGTAGCATTTTCACTGTTACTTATCATCCTTCACATCTTTCACTTACTATCCTCGGTCTTCAGGACTAAGTGAACAAACCAGCAGCAGTAAAAAAAACTCAACTGGCAAAATTTGTGGAAAACTTCCAAATACCCTGGCCAAAAGAACTGCCTTAGTCCTTCCTAATCTCAGATCCACCCCCTTTGGAACCCACAAGTTCTCACCTTTGAGATAATTATTGAGTGCCCTATGCATCTAGCTTCGACATTTTTTGACCCACACCTAATAAAAGGAGATATATTTCAGTATCGCAAAGGTCTAATTACATCCCTTGAAAACAATAATGCGCTAACAGAGCAATCTTTTCACAACATGTTCCCAGGAGATGAAGACCCCCAAACACCACACCCTATAACCTGGGGATTTCATTTATTAGAAAGGACATCTCCAAAAAGACTCTCTTCAACCACACTAGAAAGGTAATTACGACCAATTCTTGTGCCAGCAAACTCCATGGAGTTGACTCCTGGATCCATGTGTCTCATCTAAAGAAAGCCTCAAATCCTGACTAAACCTGCACACCAAATGGTGACCTAAAATTAAGGATTTCCAGGAACTGAAGCCAACAACAGCCGAAGCAGAGTTTTCCCAACATGATGAGGGTAGACCTGTACATTCTCCCCTTTCTGCTCCCCTTTCTGCTTCTGCAGAAGGGCCCACAGCAACCACCTGGCCACCCACCTCAAAATACCCATAAGCCCTAACTGACGCTACTTACAATCAGGCACAGTTACCAAAAAAGGGAATATTCCATGTCCCCATACCTCCTCTCCTCCCACCTTTAAAAACAGCCCCCACCCACTACCTCGTGGCAGACAGTCTCTCCTTTGCTGTCTTGCCCGCTGCTCCCTCGCGGTGTATTAAATAAACTTCTAACGCCTCTGTTCTCCCTCAGGTGAATCCTTTCATTGTCCAAACTGCTGGCTTCCACCCCATCAGGTCACCCCACATTTTAGGCCCCCATACGATTGGGAGAGACACCATATATTTCCTGATTCCTGGCAAAAAGGGAAAACATTTCCCACAGTTGGATGTCATCAGAAACCTGGATCTGTCCATGACAGCTGTGAACCTTTAGTCTTCCCTGTAGCCAACTTTTCCTTCATCTCCAATGCAACCACTAACTAGACCCTCACCCTTCAGGGTCTTTCTTTCTTTTTTTTTTTAAACAACCTTTTTTAAAATTCAAATTTTAAAATCCAATTAATTAACATATAACATATAACGTATTATATATTAGGTAGAGGTCAGTGATTCATCAGTCTTATATAATACCCAGTGCTCATTACATCACCCAGCTACCCAATCCCCCCATAAGAGACTCTTAATCATAAGAAACAAACTGAGGGTTGCTGGAGGGGGAGGAGAGGGTATTTCTTTCTGAGTCAAACTTCTAGAACCAGGTTTTCCCCATACCTTGCTTTGACCTGTACCCTGTCATAACTCTCAATGCAACTAATTACACCCACTGCACTTATACAGTTCTCCATTCTTACTACTACCTCACGTTTGCTTGCTGTAGCAAAATAACCCCCTTCTATACAGCCTTCAAGAACCAAGTCCACAGAACAAGACCGTTTCTCCCTAATTATTCCCTAAATACCAGTGACCCTAGGCTCAAAAGGGCCAACTGAATAATCTCAATTAACACCATTATTAATAATCAAACCATAGTAGGAGTCTTATGTGCACTACGTGGTTTTATCTTTGTCTGTGGTGAATCACTGGGCCTATGAATGTTTAGACCACGGGGGGGGGGGGGGGGGGGAGACGCCAATGCATACTAGGATTTCTAACTGTCCCCAGGGACATCCACAATAAATCTGAAGCCTCGCATAGGTTTTCCCCATTAAAACTTCACTGCCACATTAAAAGGTAACTCCCAGGAGGCATATGTGACTTTGGATTTGCCTCCATCAGAAGGGTACTTTATCCCTTTTGTGGACTTCCATGACAATGAACGAATGATTAGACATCTTCCTCTGGAACTGGGAAAACTTGCCAAACCCAGTCCTAAGGCAATAGCAGCCCAACAACAAACACTTGGTCACTGGCTAAAGTATAGGCAGGCATACCTTGTTTGTGCTTCACAGATACTGCATGTTTTTTTTCCCCACAAACTGAAGGTTTGTGGCAACCCGGTGTCAAACAAGTCTATTAGTGCCATTTTTCCAAAAGCATTTGCTCACTTTGTATCTGTGTCACATTTTAGTAATTCTCACACTATTTTAAACTTATTATTATATTTGTTACAGTGATCTGTGATCAGTGATTATAACTTGCTGAAAGCTCAGATTGGTTAGCATTTCTTAGTAATATTGTTTAATTAAGATATGTATTTTTTTAGACATAAT